AATTGGAGGATTTTGGAGGATTGAGGATGTGCCCTACTAAAAAGGCCCTAGTGGGTTAAGGTTAATCCAACTTTTGTAGTAGTTTTGCCAGAAAGTTCCATGAATCTTTCTAATTAAGGTATTCATTAGGATTGTATGGTATTGACATTGGCTGATCTGCTTTCAACTTGTAAACTTGTTATCTGAAAAGGATAACTGGAAAACATTCAATGTTGAAGGAGATGCTGGTGGCTAAAAAGTTTGTATTACTTTCAAAGTTTTGTTAACAAAAAGTAAGTAGACTGAAAACACGCACGTATAGTGATGAAGGGTATTTTAATGGTAAAACAGTTTTCATTGTTTCCGATTGTCTGAACTTGCCTTTGAAAGTTGCAAGAAACTCAAACTTTGTTAACTGTGTATGCAGAAAAAGGATATTCAAGGCAATAAACACTGGATTGCCTACCATCTGGAAGATGCCTTACAGAAGATTATCAACAATCCTGAGTGGGGTCTGAGGTAAGTGTCATTGATGTACATGCAACTCTTAAGGATGTGTTGAGCAGAAGGAATGGTTTTCAGGACCCTGCACATTTTTTTATTAATTTTTGTATTTAAAAAAAAAAAATCATTGTGATCCTCCAGTTGTGAAAACAAAGTTGTCAATCAGAGTACAAGAGCACCGTATACACTCGGACACCCCTTATGGTAAAAGCGTTGAGCTACTACATTGTGATATACAAAACTCATGTATCAACCCTTACAGATTGTCTGAATAACAGCTGGTAAAATGCTGCTCAGGGATATGCATATGTGCATGGATAGATATTTACCGTGCAGACCTTTTTTACTGAGGAAATACTGTTTGAATTGCAGGCTGTTTGATAAGAATGGTGAGGGAATACAAGCTAATGTTGACCCTGCAGACCAGGCTGGGCATGCTGTCAAGTTGGCCAAACAGACTGCCTGGTTAGAATCGCAACATCTCAACATGTCCTGGCTGTGTAGGGTCCAACGCTCGGCTTTCCTGGTCCTGTTAAGACTATTCCTGCTCTGTGCTGGTGAGCATGATACTCCAAACATGGCAGAATAAGGATATCCATTCACCTCTTCCTGTAGTAACTTGACCAAACTTGGCTGTTGTTCCATTAACAGACAGATCATTTGAAAATTTGCTGAATACTGCATAACATGAAGTATGATCATGCCAGAAGTTGGTACTTTTCATGACGCATTCCTGATTACACTTTAGGGAAAGGGCCCCAACCAATCAACTTTCACTGAACTGTTTACAAATGCACAGCAGACAATGTCTCTGTTGGCAGTGTTCTTCACTGCCAGTTCAAGCAAGTTGTACCCATTATATTGCCAAGTGTTTAGTATTGAGAGCCCCTAAAAGAGTTTTGTAAGCTTCGATATTAATACCTGTACATGTAGGACAAGAAACTGTAACCCCGCTGACAAGGACAGATGTATCACAACTCAGCCACTCGGCTTGAGCTTGCTGTTACCATTGGCCAGGTTGATTTGGTTGATTCTAGCTTTTGTCGACCTATTAAACAAGTACATTGTAAATACAATCCATTTGACCTTTACTTGTCATGCTTGTGTGTGTTGTTCAGCAGAGGGTAGCAATATGATGTTGCTGAACAAACACCTGGCCCACAGTTTTTACCCAAGAATATATGAAAATTAATTGACACTCTTGTTGATGCATATTTCACATGCAATACCCTGATAACTTTGTGGCGGCAACTCATCAATAGAGAGATATAGGATTGGATCCCCACTTTTTCCTTATGGCTCCCATTTTGTGAAAGAATATCCAGGGTTTATATTGAATCTGTGTTCCACTTCCATTTGTTTTTGCACACAGTGGTTCTGTTTCTGTGGTTAGTGTATAAGTTCATGATGTACAGAATTAGACGAGACAAGGAGGAAAAGAAACAGGTGCATCAGCTTGTGGATGCCATCACAGGTTAGCAGTCGTCTCCAATGTACTCAAGTTTCTGCCAAAGTTATTTGAAATACAGTGTAGTTTGGCAAAAATTCTGTACTGTGATTTTTCATCAGATGTTAAATATTCTTGTATTTAGAGTTGTTTGTTTCTTTCATCTCAATGTACTTATTCATTTCAGCTATGAACTTCTCAGCCTGTAATGAGTCACTCTGTACAGTGAAGCATTACAGACACAGAACAAACCTAACAGTTTAGTTTCATGAACGACCCTTGTACAACTGTATCAAGCTGTCAGCAGTTTCCATCTTGATGGAAAACCCTAATTCAATTTTGCAATTTCATCTGATGTGCCCATGCAGCAATTAACTGTAATCCCTTCCATGTTCAAATACATAACCAATTCATACTTGTATGTTATGTTGGCCTCACTGTTTTCCTCTCTGCCTTTTTTATTTTCTGAATAAGCAGTAGTTGATTAGCCTGTCTCTGTTTTCCATCCTCAATCCGCACATAAGCCATACAAAAAAGGTATTCTTTAGTCGTCATTCCTACAGTCGATTTCTTGTCACGTGTTGCAGGTGGATTGTTTGTGTAATTCTTTCCTATTATCTGTGCACATACGTCCAACTTATTTCCTGATAATGTACAGAGAATGAAAGGTGAATGTCTTCACATTGTCACAGTGTAACGTATCTGCCCATAATGTTACATTAACAAATTCTATTGCATTTGTTGCTTAGAACTTCATGCTGTACATGTAGAATACAGTTTATGTGCCCAATTGTGAAGTGTCTGACCCATCAGGTCCTATCATGGAGACCTCCTTCAGGCATTTCCTGTGTGGGGAACTTTTTGGAAGCCCAACCCAGACAGGCCTTTCCTCTTGGGCTGGTCTTCATGATGTTTACAATCAGTAGAAAGTACATGAATAACACAGTGAACCAAGGGGAACGGTATGCCCATAGTTCATTGCATGGTACTGTTTTCTTCCAATTTGTCATTGATGTTGAAAGGCACTGTTTTACAAACATCTAATCATTTAAACTAAAATGCAGTGTCTGAAAAGGTTGAAATCTTCTGGTGCTTGATGTGAGGCTTTTGGCCTGTGATGTAAATGAAGAATCAGTACTGCATCTTAACATCTGATCCACAACTTGGGCCAAGTGGGTTTATTTGTTGGAAGCACTCCCTTGGCACTTTGCAAAACTATCCCTAAAAAGGTATTAAACATGATAAAAAGGGAAAACTAATTCAGGACCGACAAGGCAGAAGAAAGGGAAAAACTTAGTAAAAGAGGTTCTGTGATCACATCCATGTACCGTCATCATTATAGGATTGACTTGTAGTTGTACTTTACAAATGTGTATGAAAATGTCGTAACAATTTTGATTCTTTCCATTGCATGGATATAAGACATTTATCATTGATTTCATACAGTGCCCAATTAAATCCCAGTCATCTGATGGGTCATTTTTGCTTGGCTTTCTCTCTTCTCATCCCAACCTAAAACTGTGACCAGGAGTTTTCCAGACTTGAATCAGTGCTTCAGCTGACAAAATTGACAACATGTGTCATTTGTTTCTTTGCATTAACAGCGTCAACATCACGAGTTCAAACATCTCTCCTGTTTAAAGAGAGCATTGCATTGTGTGCGTCATTACCGTCCATGTTTGTGTTAAAAGCTGCCATTGTGTGCCATTAACGCTGCAGCCGTGCCCGTCCAGGATTAAAATGTTCTTACACCAAGCATCAACGATGAGAACTTATGTTTGAATTATAGCTCATACATGTACACGTACATGTATATGCTCAACATCACACCAATCAGAGGACTGAGATTTATTCATTCATTGTATGTGTATATAAGTAACCACATACCCAAATGGAACTCATGCAAAAGAGTACTATTTTACCCTGATAATGTTGTGGCAGAGATGCTGGCGAGTCACCACAAGGCCTGCAGCAAAGACAAGAGCTTGTCACCCTACCTGGCCATACCTCACATCAGAGATACGCTGATACCACTCAAGCACAGGTACATGTACTTGTCAATATCCAAAGATATCAGTATTTGCTTGCTAAACTCGTGTGTGAACTATCAGGAAAGAAGTAAAGAATTGGAGAAAAAACCTACAAGGCAAATACTACCGGTAAGTGTGGAAACAAGTTTCTCTGATTATGCATCAATCAGCAGTTAGGCTGATGTTCATCACTATCAGAAATAAAGATTGCAGCTCTACACAATACCTCACTTCATGCCTGAGCATTTGTCAACATACAGATATATAGACAACCCATCTTCATATTTGATGTCAATTTACTTGTACAGTTAATGATATTTTTATGGGAAAATGTTGGAAAGAGTTACCAACATTTTGGTTATCAGTGAAAATCCAAGACTTGTTTCTGCCGGGGGTGGGATTTCCAGAAATTTTGGTTTAACACTTTTGGTAGAATTATATGCAAAATAACATTCATGTGCGACTTGTTGAAGTCTAGTACAGGGGATCAAGAAGTACAGAAACCGGTGTTACTCCTTCTGAAATACAGTGGTATGCCCAATGGGCAAGTTGGGGTAGTGGTAGTGAAAGTAATGGCAGAATGGAATAAATTGTGTATTCCCACGCATACATGTGGGAATGTGTGCAGTGGGTCCAGAACATACATGTAAGTATGAAACTTACCAGTATCACGTGTTGTGCACATGTTATTGCCGGAAAAATTGATGCCATTTTGAGTTGTGCACGATCACTGCACGTACATGTACATGTGGTGGATTCTGTGTGGCTTTCTACAGAAATATCACGTGATTTGGGGGATGGCTCACAGTATATAGATGGATGTGACTCTTGATAATTTGACATAAGGACATACATGTATCAAACCATTAACCCAAATGGGGGACCTGTCTTTTTATAAAGGTGCCAAAATCCATGGAGGTTTTCATGGTTGGAGAAGATGGATTGTGAACATGGTGAAGTGACAAAAGCGGAAAGGGAAGAAATTAAAGAGATTCCCTTGTAAAGATTAATAAGTTTGGACACTGCAAATGCTTGTAGTGTGATAAGTTGTTGACATATGACGTTGGAGGCATAAAGGACATGGTATGTTGTAAATGTTCAGGTGTGCATGCCTGGCACGGCGTCTGCACCTGTGCATTAACAAGCACTGTGCAGGTGTATTGTTTGCTCAAATCGTGCCCAGGCAATTACCACGTTTTACACATACATATATTCATAGTCAAGTTCTCCATTTTTGCCGCTATGCAGCGTTATACAATCTTTGGTGTAAAGTTTGCTTGCTGTAACCCTATTTGCACACTTGTATGAGCAAAGTCCTACTGATGTTTTTCATGTGTTGAAGAGCATGAGTGGAAAAGATGATATGTTGTCCTCTTTTTACATGTATGTATAAGTTCTGAGAGGGAGAACTGTTATTACTTACTTTATCACTTTCAGACATCTTCATGCATTGGTGTTAAGGCCACCACATCAGGTCTGTGTCCCACTGGTTGGAGTCTGATTTAAATCTTTCAGTAAAGTCTGAGTCTTATCAAAAAGTGGACTCGTCCAAGTCCAAATTTGAGTCCTACGCCACTGTCTGCATGCAGTTAATTATGTTGCTCACAAAACCTGAACATTTCAGATTCAAAAACGAAGATTATTTACGTTTTATTTGTTTCATAGTTTGGATATTACAGCAAGTAAAGCTCTCCTTGTACATATATGTGTAAATTCGCTAGCTGACTCACTCAGCATGCAAGACATCCTTAGTTGTTTCTGATGCCTAATGCATTTGTAATATTTTTGAGGATCTACATGTATCCTTGACATTTGTGATAAAATGGATGCTGCTGTGACTAACATTGTTTTTGTAGAAAAGTCGGTGTAAATTCCAAGTGAAGTTGTATTCCATCTGTATATGACACTCTGTGACATTCACCAAAAGCATTGATTATTGAATTTCCGTTATCCCATTTTTTTTCATATAGAATATGTTCTTTTCACCTCATTGCTCTTACATTGACATAAAGCCTACAAAAGGATTGCTTTTTGTGTTGCAATAAATAATTGACCTTTTTTTCCGGGTTCAACATTGTCATATAGTCAGTTGCCTGAAGTCTTTGTGATGTAAGAAATAGTGTTTTGTCTGAGAATACTGTACCTTTCCTCAGCCGTCTGGCAAAGATCAGTTGCCTGACAGGATGCTATAACTGTCTACCTAGTCTCAGATGACAGCCTCTGTCATTGCCAATCAACAACTCCACAGCAGACAGTCTCAATCAAGTTGAACTCACCTTATCCTCATTGACTCCTAGAATGACAAAGCAATTAATTTCTGATAGTCATATCTAATCCAAGCACTTGGATCAGTTGTTTACCTTGTGTATCAAGCGTCATATGAAAACTCAAGCACGCCCTGCAGTGCTCAAAATAAACATGTAGAATTGAAAGTTGTATTCCTTTAAATTTTACCTTTGAAGATTGGGCTTGAGTCCAAGTAAGTAAGCTTGCAAACTTTCCCTTGCTGTCTCCTGGACAGCATATATTAGAACAGTTACAGTTGCGATCTCAAGTCAGTTTGCTTTTAGTGTGGCGCCCATGGGAATCACTCAAGAAATTTGGTTGAGCTCATAAGCAAGAATAAGTGTACATCAAATTAATTGGGTGGGAGTTTGAGTAAGGCCATGGGTCACAGTCACTTGCTACATGTAGTACAGAAATGGTGCACTCTTCATACCAGTTAATCTTCCAACTGTATCAGTAATAATTTCTACCATGATTGGGACCAAAAGAGGAATGAATTTACTGGAAATATTTGCCACATGGCACACCACGGCAAAACTTTGAATGTGCCTGCATAGTTTCCCTTTATTCAGCATGCCATCGTGCTCGAGTCAGATGTGTGCTGTACCTTTACCGACTCACACTGTCTGCACTGGGTTTCCCCGTCTCAGGAAAATTGATTTGGGATTTGGTAGGATGGGATTGGTAGGGGTTGTAGTGTGGGTCGTGGCTGGGTAGGGTTGGGATTTGGTTGAATGGAATGGGAAATGGGACAGATGAGGTGTGAATTGTTAATGTGAGGGTGATTTGTTGGGTAAGTGTGAATATGTTGAGTGAGTAGGTTTGGGCAGTGATTGCGCTTGATTTATAATTATACTTTTTCTAATGTTTTTCTAATATTTTTCTATATTTACCTTGGATTTGATCAAATGTTTACATATAAATGGAGGTAAGCTCATAAACCGATCGCAAAAATAGATCATTATATGTACATGTGTTGCAAATGGCACAGAAAATACAAAGTTTCATGTATTTGTTTAAATGAATTGATTTGCACATATATGTAGCAGCAAGCTTGAATAGCTTTGCTGTTCTTGTTTTTATTAAGAACAACAAAATTATCCAAATCTCGTCATTGGTACTGGGCAGCAAACCTGTTGCTCAGTCAATTGTGTATTTTGGAGAAAATACACAATTTTGAAATCTTGTAACTCAGTAACTTTTTAAATTTACTGTGTTCTGTTTTGAAATGTGCCCTCTCATGACAACAGCATTTTGATAGGATTTTGCCCATGCAACTACAAGGTCACATTATCTTCCTACTACTGCATACAAATCTGCCACTCAAATTTTTCTGCCAGACAACAAACTAAAGGGCATGGGGCAATGTTCACAGAAATGTCAAAATACAGGTCCCTTGATAGATCTTTTGCAACAACCTTCTTTGATTGTTATTTTCAAAATGACAGCATGCTACAACTTCACAGGGAGTTATGTGCCTTTGCCGTCTTTAAGGCAAGTGCGATTCTATTTTACAATAATTTGGTCCTTTGAATTTTGAATGGCTGTAAATGGTTCATTTTATCTTTGAAACAAAGAAGTAAGAAAAAAGTCCACCAGAATGTTCAATCCAGCGTGGACATAAAGTTTTGCCACAGACTTTATACTGAGAAAACATGAAAAAGTACAACTTTTCCTAATAGGTCATTTGGAACTTGACAGGGAAACCATTGGCTTCCTTTTCTGTAATTTGAGACACCTAATCACTGAATGTATCATCTCCCATGCCTGTCATCAAGTCCCACTGCATGGGTTCCATTCTTTCCTATTTACCCCCTCTGACACTGGGATCAGTTTTGTATAGAGAGTAAGGGGGGCTGTTAGTGAGAAATCTGGTCCAGTAAGTTTCAGGAGTTAACTGAAGTCTGCAGCCTAGGAATTACTCCTGACAGGTGGTTTCAATGCCACAGTCCATGATTGAGCTGAGCTCTAACAAGCTGTGAACCCTAGCCTGTTGAATGATTGTTGCATATGTATGTTGTGAGTGATGGTTTTCACTTCAGGTGCTTGGAAGTGAGAAATTAGACTGTGGGAAAGGATTTGATGAGACAGGCACATTTGTGAACCATTAATGTTCATACTGGATGTATTCTAATTCAAAAACTCTGTTTTGAATAAAATTAAACTTGAGGTAAATTTCTCTTCATATGAGGTCTGCACACAGCACTAACTAGGATTTTTCTCCTGGAGTACAATGAATTTTACTGCTAAGGTCGATAAAATACCTTGTACATCTGTATTGCAGTTGTATGTCGACCAATCTTGTAAAAAATTTGATAAAGCTTGGTTAGTTTTCTTGTTTACTTTAGGAACCATATTTGTATAACTTAGATGTCTCTTAGTGGATATCCATCCTATCCATCTCAAATTCATAACAAGCAGTGAGCCATGGCGGCTTCGCCGTTCTAGTTTTTTATAAAAGTGCTCATAGGTCACTATGCCGCATGGCCTAAAGTACATGTAAGTCCACATTTAGCAAACAAAGTAAAACAGTAACAAATCTCCCTTCTTTGGAATCAATTAAACACTGTCCTTTTTTGTTACTGAAAGAAATACTCGCACTTTTTTTCCCCTTTTCAAGGCAAATTTGAATAAATCAGATTTTTTTTCTCTTATTATTTAAATTTTATGTTCTGAGCATTGACATGAAACATGGTGCTGGCAAGAATGTATTAAAGTAACAGTCACGTTAAAACAGCTCGAAAAGAGCCCATGAATGCAATTTATTTACGAAATAATAAACAGCAAAGGACTTTCAACCATGAATGAAGAACCTTTTTTTAATGTCTGTGAAAGTCCTATTTTTGAGATGAAAATACACATACAGAGTTTTGTTTTGTTGCTAAAACCTGATCCTACATAGAGTCACAGTCGACGTACAGTTTAGTTACTCTGGGTGAAGGCACCTTTCCAAATGTATTTTTTTTTTCATGCCTTGAGTACATGATATATTCATGCGTAGGCTTTCATGGACACAAAAATTGACTCAATTAGCTTAACACACGTGTGTTGCGTTTGGGCTGTCAAAATTGCCCTGGGGGTGATTTTGACGGATACACAATGTTTGGCGCAAGTATTGACGCACATATATGGAAAAGCGCATTGAGCTTGTGCATGTTTGTACACATCTTTCCAAATGCTACAAAAAGTAACCCACTTCATTCAGTGACTCATATATTGTATTATAGTCAACTGATTGGTTTTACTACAAGCTACAAATGGCACAAATACCTGTTGGAACATTTTAAGTGGGTATCAAATTGCCAAGGGGCTAATAGTCCAGCATGAATGTGCTCCTGAGATGAGTCAGTGTACTTGACAAGTGCCACTACAATTATAAATGCTGATGGCCCAACAAGTTTGCAAAGTTGACTGAAGGGAGATTTTGAAACCTTAACATTTTTGAGTGTGTCTCTGTAGGGAGCTTTTGCAGCCTTTACTTTTCACTATCCAAACTTGTTCATCTATCATACAGTCCCACCATTCATGCAATTCTCCCCATCATTTGTAGTCCACCAAAGTCTGATAAGAAGTTCAAGGGAGGTGCTTACCTCATAGGGGCTCCTAGCGTGCCTAGAGGAAGTCTAGCCTATGTGTCATCTAATACTGTGTCGACTAACCAATTAACTGTTGCTGACAAGAAAATCTGGAAACAAATCAGTTGAAATTGTTTCCACATTTCAACTGAGCATGGAAATGAAAGAAGACATCTTGAGGCTGTACAATTCCTGTGCATTCTAACCTCAGTTGGCTGTGTGAAACATATGACACTAAAATTGATACTGTATGGTTGCTGAATTTGGGCGTTAAAAGTTAATTGCTTTGTCCATGTAGTTTAAACAGTTCCCTTCAAACTAAAATTATGTTCAGAAACATTTGGGTTTTTTAGTTTTAGTTTGAATTTAAAAAGAGCCAGAAAACTACTCCTGTGTTCAGCATCTTGGATAGCTAAGTACATGTATGCACGCACAGTCACTAATACCCAGCTAGTCTGGAGAATGATTACAGAGATAAGCACTGTTCAATGTTGCTTTTGTTACTAGTGCGAGAAGAAAAAACTGAATATTCATTCTGTTATCATGTGAATTTGCTTGTCTAGTTTGATTACAGAAATGTTCATGGATAAATTGAGCTATGTTTGAAATGTAACTTAGGTTACATCCTCCCCATCATGTTGTTTACTGTGAGACTGAGCTTTCCCTGTACATGCATGCCAAGGCAATAGAGTGCACAAGGCTTGTGACATAATTACACGGATTCACTTTTTTATGAGATTAATATAGCCATGGGGTCACATTGCACATCTTCAACTGCAGTGTCCTTAAATCTGCAATATCTTTACATGCCCCTGAGGTTGGGTGTCTGACAGAGGTAAAGCTGATGTACATATACGTTGTGTTGATGTAGCCTCATTTCTCTTCTTAGGGTGATGTTAGTGCTGCATATACATGTAAGCTCTAAGGTTTGGCTTGGATCCGATTTGGATAGTATTACTGTTTTTTTACTCCTGGTTTGGATAACCATGATTTATTATTCAAGATTTGCATAAAATGTCTAGATCTGGCAAAATTTCACCATGGTGAATACATACTATGACTGACCCAATGAAAGGTAACCATACTAAGTTGCGTGTGTTCTGGTTGCATGTGCAGCAAGGTATGAGACGGAGAGAACCCCCCCTGCTTTGTGTTGGTCGTTGTCTCGCAGGAATCTGGGGAATTGCTTTCAGACATCTTGGGGGGATGAAATAAGTAACAATAGTCTGGAATGTGTATAGGGATTGGACATGTTGGGGGAGTACCCCTCAGTCTTATTTCTTGCTGGGTATATCTGGTTGCTGGACGGGTTAAATGCACAGCTTGGCAAGCTTATAAGATCTGCAGTTTCCGGACTTGCCTTTGAGTACAAGCCGAATGAAATAATTGCCCAATCATCATTCGTAATGCATGACATCCTTGGCCAGATACGGAATGCAAGGGCATGGCTACAGGATGATTGGCACATACAATGTCGGTCTGAAAGCATTTTGAATGTAGTGAGAATGTAGTGTGGCCGCCATGTGTGTATGTACATGTACACCCCATGTGTAAATGTTCATATCCACATACATACTTACATGTACATACATGTACTAATACATGTTTGTACACGTTTGTACATGCAGTGATAGTAAAGTGACTCTTCATTGTAATTTGATTGTGCTAAACTTGTCTATTTTTGTTTCTGTGGCTTTTTAGCTTTCCTCATGTGCTCCTTGCACTATAAATACTGTATGTACCATATTGAAAATTCCAAACTGCCAAACAGGTCAGCTTGATTTGGTTTATATCACTTCATTTTGGAAGTTGAATGTTGATGATTGTTGGTTTGGTGCAACGTGTCATTTGCAACATTAGGTGATGTTACTGGCCCAGAAATCTGGCACAGGATGGAATATGCCATCAATTTTAGTACTTTTTGTTGTCCCGTAAAATTGATTAGCTGAAATTTATCGGCCACCCTTCATCCAGAAGTTTTATTTTTGCAATAACCAGAAAACCACATACATGTATGATGTAACTCATAATACAAGTAGGGCCCAGAAGGAAGTTTCCACCATATGGTATGAACCTTGCCTTGGAAAGATGGTTGACAGTGTAGTCGAGACAACTTAAGACCTTCACAAGACCAACACAAGATCTCCAGTCTGAATTCAAGTCACAAGCTATTCAAATGAACTGTAACAAAAGCATTCCTTTGTCATTATTCACCGTGTTACTTGTGACTGGTCTTGTGAATGGTCTTGTGTCTGGTATTGCGATGGTCTCGACTATAACACTGGCACATGAATAACTAACCACCTCATCCTTGATTTTAAACAGAAAGGAAAAACAGCATTTGTGGGATCGTGCTGTGCAGTTCATCAACACCAATGAGTCTCGAGTTCGTGTAGAGACACAGCAGATCTCTGGTGAAGAGTTCCCTGTCTGGAGATGGATGCTTCCTTCACCGGTTGTTTCATCCTTCACACCAATGACTGAATTGGTGAGTCAATTCGTGTATCTTGTATCTCAACTTTAAGGGGATGAAGAGGTGGGGAACAGAACTCCCTGTACGTTTGCCCAGATAACAATAAATTTTGATAATCATCCCATGCCTCCTTGAGTTTTTCTGTAGATGTCTTGTGATCATTTTGGCTCCGGTTTGATGAAAATCAGATATGTTCTCTTTCCAATTTTCAATCACTCATTGGCAAAATTGTTGACACTTTCTACTGACTACACAGTGGAATGTGCTACGGTAGAGCATGAACAAACATGTGGAAGTGTACAATATACATAACCATAGAGATGAAATACTTTGCCCAGTGGATTGAAACTTCACAGATGTGCTCTTAGTTTCTACAGATGAGGACAAACAGATTTTTAGAGTAAAAGGGGTATGGCACAGGTCTGTTCTTTTTCCATGAGGCCGAGAAGTTTCAACTACCATCTGTTATACTGGTAACTACAGTACACCTGCGTTACTCTGGACATAATCTCAATATCAGTTTTCTTTTGATACACAGGAGTTAAACCCCAACAGAGTGAAAGTGTGGCAAGGAACGGGTAAGCATAACAACAGGGTGGTTTATGGGATAGCTTCCTGTAGGAAAAGAGGGATCCCAAACCTTGACAAGATTACCACAGGGGGCTGTATTTTGTCTGTTTCCAGAGACTGTGGATTTGTCCTGTTATGTCTGTGTGTCCTTCCTTACACGCCCATTTGTAAGGATCAGTGTTAGACACAAATAGGTCCTTGCACTTCCAGAGAGCAGACAAAGGGAATGCACTGAAGATGTGGTTGGTACAACAGTTTGCTTCTAGGATAATTGAATGATTGCTGCCTGTGTCAATGAGATGTGGACACATCTTCCTCATCATGAATTTGAATGAACTAACAGATTAATTTCTTTCAACCGGTACTGCTTTGTTCTTTAGTCTGTAGAAATAGTCTTCTGTGCTTTACAGATTGACTCTCTGTATTTTTGAAGAAAGCGAGCATCTGTCTGCATGCAGTTTTATGCTGCTGACAGGTTCTCTGCTCCAAGAACACTGATGGTCCCACAGCCATCCATAACAAGTTAAACAATAGTCACTGAACATGCCCCCTCGCTGTCTCGTGCATTACCAGTAGCCTACCTAAGGTAAAGTGGACAGGGATTTCCTGATTGAGTTAGCCTTATCCTGATTGAAGCCAGGTATAGGGGAAGCTTTGTATTGATTCACCTTCTGTGCTCACCTGTTGTGAATATACGCACTGCTGACGTACTCCGGTGTTGTGGGCAGTAGTTTATGGAACAGGCAAAGGTGTGTCAATTCAGTGTTTAGAAATGGAAGTGTTCAAAGACCTGCTTGTATTTGGCCCTAAGCTGTCTTTCCTCCTATGGCTACCGGATCTTGCCTAATTAGATTATTGAGGCCAGATGCATTGAGTCCTGTATTGTGTCTGGGCCTGTCTTTTGACTGAGAAACTTGCCTGGGATATCAGATATTTATAGTCACAGGTCTAGGGCATTAGCTTTCCTTCCCAAATCTGAAGACCTTAATTTGGAGAATTTAATTTTTGACTGCAAATCCACGGAGCTGTCATTGGCCTTTTCATGTGGTATACATGTTTATCTTACTTCCTGTTGTTTGATATGCATAGCTGCTTGTATTTGATGGATGTCATATACAAACTACAAGTACCATTCACTTATCCCATGTTTCCTAATTTTTTGCTTTGATAAATTAGGCAATATAACATTTCAAAGTAGAACCCCTGGAGTATTCAATTCTTGGCTTATTAAGGTGCCTTTCCATATGCACATCAGAACTTGCGCCAAATATTGCATACCCATCAAAATCGCTCCCGGAGTGATCTTGATGGTCCAACGCAGTGCACATGTGTGTTATGTTAATGGAGTTGATTTTTGTGTCCATGAAAGTGAAACGCACGAACACATCGTGTATGCAACACAACCAAAAAACATAGTTATGGAAAGGTGCCTTTACTTTAAGTTATGACCTAACTTTTAAAAGTGAGACCAGGGGCAAAGGGGCAAATTAAGGGGACACATACATAGGATTAACTATTTAACATCACGTAGTTGCCATTAGGTACCTGCTACTTGCTAGTCGATTAGGGGGACACTTAGGTAGAGTCAGCTATGAGTACCGGTATTTAGCATTGACTAGTTGCATTGGTCCACAAGGTCACACAACATACAACTTATAACAGGTTGCATTTGTCACTACCAAAAATGTGGTCTTACTGAGTTGATGGCCAAAGTTCACAGAACTTGTAAATTAATGCCCGGTTTATTTGTACATCTATACATGTACATGTATGTGAAATGTCATAGTTTGCCAGATACAGGAAGATCTCCACGTAGATTGTCAACACCCATTTGACTCCATTGTGTACTCATGGCGTATTCAAAACCCTGTTCTCCAGATACTCATGAACATTGTTTTTGGGGTAATCAATCAATCAAATCAACATTTATTTCCATGCTGTCACCATTTAGAATAGAATCACATGTGTGTTCTTAATTACATAATAATACATAGATAAATAAAATTTAAACATAATGTCTTTATGAAAATTTTGCACATAATTACTGATTACAAATGCCAAAGAAGAAAATGTAAGATGGCTGTTGCCATCTTAACACTGAACGAAAAGATGATTAATAGTTTCTCGTTAACCCTAACTGCCCAAGCATTGTTAGTGGTATCCCTCCCTAATCACACAAATGCCAACTCCTTGAAATCCAGACTCCTACTCGTATCTTACATACCATTTCAATGGGAAGCTTTCTATCATTACATTATCTTTAAAAATACAGTACTGAGATAATTGCAGATAATCTCGCCTCAATTAAAATTCCTGATGGTAAGAAGTGAGAGGGCCACAGTGCCCATTATGTCAAAATTCAACAGAGTAAGTGCAGGCCTACAGTGCATGTACCTGTTTAGTCAAAATCCAGCACCATATACATGTACATGTAGCAAATTCCCCAGTACCTAATTCCACAAATTCAAATACCCTACTGGTGATGAAGTTTGACTGATTAGGGATTGTTAGGGTTAATTAATTTACCACATCAAGGGTTGTGAACAAGACTTTAAGGTCCTTCTAAAATCACTCCCTGGATGTGAATAAATGAAATGATATTTCCAATCTGACCATAATGCAAATCCCAAGATAGCCATGTAAAATTCTACATGTTGGTAAAGGTAAATTCTCTCCAACAACCATGTCTGTAAGCCTTCAGTTTTATTTTCCTTTTTTTGGTGAGTGCTTTGTATTTTATGCAATAATATTAAGTTGCGGTATGTGTCTATGTCTGCTATCTTTGTTCTTGATGTTCTCCATCTACTCCCAGTAAGCGGAGAGTGAGAATCCTGCTTGTGAATAATGTGTTGATTCTATTCATTTGGACCCGATCTCATGTTCATCCAACAGGAGAATAGAGGTTCGAATACACCCATTGTGACTGTATGGTGATCTCTACTCTGTTATTCAGCCTACCTATGTTCCTCGTCCCACCTGAATCCAAGTAACTTCTTCCCTTTTTCCTCTAATCATTTTTGTTTGTCACAGCCTTTGACAACCTGGACACAGCCATCAAGGCACCCCGATACACCCCAACACCGTGCCTGAAGATCAGGAATATGTTTGATCCAACACTGTGAGTCATGATTTTTTTTTAACGTTTGGTCAGAGATTTTAGGAAATGATGCTTCGCTGTGCAGCTAACATCTTAACCCTTTCCGTTTTAAGTCTTGGCTTGAGTACATGGCGCTTTTGCATAACTTTCAGAATCATTTTGGGTGGAATAAGTTGCACCAAACAAATCGGAAATAAACAATTTTACTAACCATTTATGTTTATTGTGAGGCTAATCATTGTCCAACATATCTAGATTTATATAACAAATGCACAACTTGGTTTTTGGGGTAATGAATTACTTGTTTGGTTGTGAAAGAACTTTGAGATTTGCATCCTGGCTCCAACAAAAAAGAAAAACAGTCAAAATGATGAGAGGAGCTCAATGAACAAAGTCTGCTTCATGACTGTGTAACTTCAAAGGAACAGCTGTAGCAAAAGCTGTCATTGTCCTCATCCAAGAGGTTTTATGTGATGAAAATGTTGCACATCTGAGCAACTTTTTTGCACTGTACTGCAGCGCTACAAATTTATTGCATAAGGGTCATAAATAATGCGAAGTATACACTCACAGATGTTAAAAACTTTTTTGTTAATATACTGGATTGGATGCCAATGCATGGAAAGCATGTCATTAATTCAAATGGTCTTGGGCCATTTGAAACTCAGTAGGAAATTTTGGAGGTTGGTGCAGGAGTAAGGAACTAAGAGACCAACCACCAAAACTTTACACAAGACTTGAAGCCACTGATAACTGAAGTACTAAGAATGTGCTGATTTGAAAGGTTGAAGGTCACCAGCAAAATGCCAAGGGGCTTTAGGGTTGATACATGTACATGGATCATTTGTCATTGACTAAATTGCTGTCAGATACACATTTATTGAAAACTGATCACAGCTACAATGTACATGTACCTTGCAATATAGGGACTTTGCTGATTTATATCCCCGTGGATACTTGAATTGTTAGGTTACCCATACATTATATACAAGTATATTGTACATCAAATCATTTAGCGCTTGTCACATGACAATGTTAGTGTTAATATCTCCAGCACTTAGGGCCCCTAGAGCTAACAAGTTCAGTTAAAGTTGGAATCAAGAGAAAGAGCAATGGTTTTAGCAGTCAATAATGGTAAAGACCCTGAAATGGGAATCTGAAAGTTCATCACAGAATTAGAGGAAATACAGTCTCAGATAGAGGTGAATGAGTTCACTTGATTTGAATAAAGAGCAAGTTTTCTGTAATTAATATGTGAACTCTTGCTTCCTGTATGTCATTAAATGCTGGGCCTTTGGTTATCAGCCTAGAATTCACTCTGTTGATTTCCAGCTGTCTGTTTCACTTTGAATTTTTAATCTCAGAACAAAGTGGAGAAGGGTAGTCCATTTTTGTTGGATTGCTGGCTATTCCAATTTGAGGGGAAGCACAAATATTTGTATTGCTTATTTACAATTTCAGTATCAAAACTTAGAAGTGTTTTCTTTTATCTGTGCATTTCATCATGTGACATGTCAAGGGCTTCAATTAGGGATTTCCCGCTTAAAAGTTGTCTGATGCCATTTGAAGATATGAAACAGCAACTTTTTCAAGTAAAACTTGGGAAGCAGAGTTGTCAACATGGTCTGGCTGTGACAAAGATCATTAATAGATACTTTACATTATTATGCAAGTAAGGACCTTTTTTGGCAAAGAGGATACCCTTAATAAATCAAGTTATGCAAAGGAAACGGTTTGGATTCAAAGATAGAGACATTTGCTTGATAAGCGTACAATGATGACATTGGCTATCGTTTCTGGCAGTTTCGTTGAGGTATATCAATTGATGGATTGCTACCAGTCAGTCAGTGAAACCACACTCTCTACTGGCAATGTCAGCAAGTGTAATTTGAATAGTCTTTAGACTTTTGTAATATTTTGGCGTCCTGAGGCAGGATAGCATCAACTTAGACTCTGGTATGAAATAGGAGACAAACTCGCCCATTTTGTACTGCATACCAAGACTGCCACCTGGCTAGTTGGCAGGATTCTCCAAGGCTTGGACACACTTGGCTGGTTATGTATATATTCATGACTGGTGCAGTCAGCACAGTATTATACAATTAGAGCCAATGATTTTCCGTGTCAAAAACGGGTATTTTCTGTTTCAAATTCTGTTTCATACCATAGTAAGTATAAACAATGCATGCAAACTGTTTGCCCGACCTTACCCCCTCCCAAAAGGAAACAAATATTGTTTGAAAATACTCTGCAATGATTCCAACTTTTTAAAAATAATTTTCTGCTTTGAAAATGGAAAAAAAATCTACACAATAATATGGCATCCCCTCCTTGATTTCCCACCAGCGCGTTTGTCAGAAACTCACTACAATGCAGACAATTCATGTGTCACTCCTCGTGTATAAATCAGGTTACATTTAAGACATGTACAGTCATAGAGAAGCTCCTGCATGCAGCAGACGTTGATCACAATACGTTAATGTTAGACATCGAACCGCCATTTTTATTTGGCAAAGGCGAGACAAAATTCAGAAAGTTAACATTAAAATCTGAACCTTAAAATACATGTTTGTGAGTTAGAAGTTGCTCTTCATCAAATACTTCCAAGGGCCCATCTAGGTATGTTACACCAAGCTCACCATGTTTCGTTTGAACAAATGCAATTAGTGTTCCGTTTTGCTGCCATGGTTTGATGATTTTGCCATGCGATACTAGCCTCGTGTCCAGGCGTCTAAGCGGATTCACAGACTGAATTTCCCTCGTGTGCAATAAGCATATATGTTTGAGTATGAACCTCTTAGCGCCTTGCTTTATTTGCTAATCTGGTGCAAATGTGCAGAACAGCCATCATATAAGCTGTTTTTGTTGTCGTCCAAGAAATTTATTATTATTAAGATGTGGTGCAGCTATGCAACTTTTCATGAAATCGAACGTTACTTTGCGCAGTTGTGGCATGAATTTGTGGCACAGGGCTTATGCATAGTCTCGTGAAAGCGGCTGCAGGACTTTATATGAGTGTACATGATTGTGTACTGAGATTGATATTTGCAGTTGATGTTCTCCAGCTATCTCTAAACTGTACAGGTCATTTAAAATCACTTCAAAGGTGTGGATTTGTTCAATATTGGGAGTGATGATATTTCAGGGGTGATGATGGATTTACATTTCAAGGAAAGGCAAAACTCTAGAAGATGGTGATTACTTATTTTGTTCAGCTTGCGTTATCTTGTGTTTTTCTGCAGGGAATCAGATGGTGATTGGCATGTAGCCATAGAAGATGCCATACTTGAACGATGTGGTGACAATGGCGGCATTGTTCATGTTGCTGTAGACAGAAACTCAAGAGAGGTATGCAGTGACTTTTGTTTCCAGCCAGATTGCTGTCCCTGATTGGACACAGTGTACAGTGGACTCTGTGTGCATGTTTTCCCCTCAGTCATGACACAGAGAGAGTAGCAGTGGTTATCTCACATGCTCTTGCTGCCATGTATTACGAGTTATTGAACTACAGTAAAATCTTGATGAGTCAAAGCCTGTTAAGTCAAAACTCTTTTTACCTCGACGTCTTTCTGTATTCCCGACAAAAAAATAGGCCTTTATGTACAATAAACTATCCGTAATTAGAAACGTCAATACCACTAAAGCCGCTTATCTCGAAGTTTTGGTAGGCCAATTAAAAAAAACACTGAAGAATGATGAATAAAAAGTGATGAAAGAACGCTTGCCTTCATTATGAGTCATTACTGTCATGCGCACGACTTTTCTTTGATGAGCCGAGCATGTTCACATTGGCTGCCATTGTCACTTGGACAAGCACTGGGTGGGCATCAACTGCAACCATAAAATAAGGCCGTCTGAAACAGGCTTCAAGAGCTATGGCTACGTCTATTGTCGGCAAGTCTCCATGCATTTTCATTGGAGTGAATACCAAGACCTAGCTCTAGACAAGAGATTCGGATGCAGCCTAAATCAGGCACGAATGATGTGCCCTCAAGCGCTTTGTCATGTATCACGTGACCCAGCACGGAAACCCTGACCGACTGGCCCGCGTGCTGTGTTATACGGTAACAGCCCGATCAAGCAAAGCAAATGAATGAATTCTCAAGACGTAGACACAGGTACCGGTACATAACTTCATTGGTTTATTGTTTATTAATGTACCACATAAAAACATGTTTAATGATGATGTTTGAGGAAAACTTGCATAGTAGGGATAGCCTAAAATCGACTTCATGTTCGACTCAGCTTGCAGGCCAACTGCCGTAAGCCAGTAAGGTTGCATGTGCACTGCAGTGTGTAACTTTTAATAACACGAACGTCGGATAACTCGAACTTTTCGTCCATGCCCCTGAGCTTCTACTTATCGAGATTTTACTGTATTTCATGTCATGTGATATGTAAACACTATCTGGCTATCCCGGGCATTGCTGGTGGATGGAAATGTCAAGCACTCTTCGACTCATCTGTATTTGTTTGGTACACTTGTTTTGTACATGCACAGAGTTTGAGAAGTCTGTAGAAGTAAACTGTTTAATTTGAACCTTACCGCTGTCCATAGCCTGTTGTGTCAGAAAATACTCGTAATTCTCACTTGGCCCACTTGAGAGTTGAAAACATGAGGCTAAAGAAGTAAGGTAGAAAAGCTGTTCAATGACTCTTGAGAATCTGTATTTGTGGATTAGGCTATACATGTATACCTAAAAAGTTGGCCCCTGTTCTTTGCCTATTTCGAAAGTTACGATTTTTGGGTCAAAAATTACTTTCTGCAAGTGGTGAACAAATAGCCTTGTGCTGTAATTGCTAAAACTCCATACACCAGTCACATCAATGAATACAGTGTTTTCAGCATTGAAAGCATTCATTTATGGTAACTCACGTGATCCACATATACTGAGCAGCACTGTTGAACAAGATTTTAACAGCCAGCAGCAATAATTTCTGGATACACCTTCGGATCTTTTGTTGACAAGGGTCCCAACACTATATGATGGACAGGCAGCAAGCAGGGGTCGACATTAAGCCGGCGCACTAGTGCTTTTGCGTCCAACAAACCATAATTAGTGCCTGATAACCTGTATACATGCAAAGGGAGAGGTTGGGCACTGAAATAGCGCCAGGCGGTTACTGATCTTCTTTGAGGTGATGACACACTTTATTCCAAAGAAATCATAAAAGTATTTACCGTAGTGGGATAAGTTTGACAACCTTTTTCTCATGTTAAAACGTCTGCATTAATGGGTTTTCCTACTGTCATTTGCAATTTTTGAAAAGAAACTTCTCTTATTTTCACGACTTCCTTTCGCGTTTAGTGATAACAGGTGCGCAAAGCTCAATCCCATAAAGCAAAGCTGCTCTGGTTCCCGCCATGCCATGCCCACACCAAAGAACGCGTAATGGAAATGTGCTAATTGGCCCTACGCACACGCAATGCTACAGTTGTTGATCGAGAAAGCATTGATGTTGCTAAAGGATTTCTGCAAGTTGATTCACAGAACTTGGTCTCTTGTCTATGACATGCATTCTCAGTGTTCAGGAGTTTAATTTGCGGTGGTTTTGCTCATACTTAAAGCGAGCGTGTTTCCACAAAATATCCTGCCACGGCACAAGGTTTATTGCCTGCCCATTAGATGCATCGTGGAATTTACCTCGCGATACATGGACATCGTTGGCCAGTTTGCCATCGCGATTACATGACTAGCATTGTGTGAATTGTCCATAATTTTGTGAATTGTCTACTGTAGAAATTTTTACAAGGATTAAGACTTTTTTTTTTTCACTTTTTGAGACGATTTTTGAAGCTCTTGTCGCTATTTCTGCCATTCAATCAGCACAGAAAAATTGACCCCAAAAAAGTCCAACCTACTGACCCTATTTTGAGAGGCATGTAATCGAAAGCAGAGCTATTATTTTTAGCCTAACATGACTTTACCTAAAACTGCTCCCGGGTTTAGTAAAAAGGTCCCCAAAACCCCTGACATTTGAAAGAACAGGAGCTGTTTTTAGCTTCTGGGTAAAAAAGCGTAATGTCGACCCGTGAGCATGTGTATTTTTTTTTCACAAGCTGCATTAACATCTTGAAAAAAGCTGCATTTGATGTCTTAGCTTTGCTCACCATTATCCTGTACATTGTCATGCTTAACAACTTGCTGCCGGGTGTTTTTAAAAATGCAGTGCACACATACGAGAGATTTTCAAGATTTTCGGTTTCCAAAATTCTACAAAAATTCATCATTTCATTTAATGGATGTTTACACCAACACGAATGACTGTTTGGTGGCTACTCTAAGCTGACAGGGACCTCCATTGACTCCTGCGTATTACAGCCATGCTTGCTTCCCTGTAAAGAGAGCCCGGAATTGTGAGATGTTGCATAATTTCCTTTGTCCCCGGTGAATGCGAATGGCATCTTTTCAAACGTGGCTGGATTAGCATGCAGCGGTGCTGTGTCATTCATCAATGGGGCCCTGGAGCACTTTTGTCCGCGGTGCTAATCCGCGGGCGCGCTATGCCCAAAACAGAGGTATACTATCTAAAAACAGTGACGGATTACCTTTGAAAAATGCAAGCCAAAAAATGATGGCAATTCCAAGCAGCAGGTCTTTTGTTCTGAGTACGGTCTTTTGACGCATGGACCAGCTCTTTTGTCCCATATTGGGCACCCTGGCTCTGCGTATAAACCCATGGTGCTTGAAATGGGGTTTCCCCAGCAGCAAGTGGTTCACACAGAGTGGACCATTTTGCACTTGTGATCATTTGTGATTTTTTCCCCATGTATTGATGAAGGGGTGTGTCTATGTCAAGTGTGCTACACCGGAAAATGCAGGCCGTGCTTACAGAGCATTGCAAGGAAGTTGGTTTGATGGTATGTACAACAAAATTTGATGAGTTTTAACTTCACGTTTTTTTCACCCTGAATTGTTTTTTTCCATTGTTGTACAAAATACAATGTACATCAAAAGAGTGTTATTTGCCATTTACCCTGTGTCAGCCCAAAGTCAAAAGTACTTGTGTTTATTTTCAAAGCTCTTAGAATTTACAGTTGATCAGAATAGTAGTAACTTGAATCCTCACTTGACTGAATGAAATGCTTCATTCTCTCATTCAATAGAATATAACAACACCTGAATAAATGTTGTCATTAGGATTTGTGAATTTATGCCTTATATGACATGATTTTGAAAGCAGTGCAACAAGTCATTTGATAGTTCTTGTTAATAATGAAACACTAAATGCCTGTACATGTCACTCTGTTGCTGGTGCTGTAATGCAGCTCTTTGTGCAAAATAGCTGTCGAGTCATGAGTATGCAAAGAATCTTTCCTTCATTTAACAGATGGAGAGTTGTCGGAACTTGTAACTGTTGCTGATGCTTCTGATAGTAAAAAACAAACATGCAGTCAAAAAAGTGATCAGAGCAATTCAAAAGACACTCGGGAAAGTCTGCTGATCCATAAGCAATGTTTGTAAAAATGTTACCAGTGGCCCACAGTTGGAGGCACATTTTCTACCACATTCAGGGTCATGTTACTGCTCTTTGGAAGTCCTGGGTTGACACAAAATGAAGAATTCTTACACAATGTCAATTAAGTGGTTCAATGTTACATTTATCAATAAAGTGGACACTTTTGTTAACAACAAAATGCATTATTAGTCAAATTATTACATTTGACTAATAATGCACCATGAAGATCAAAACCAATGTTCAAAGTACAGTGAGTTGAAGTGGTAGTCATTCATGTAGACTTACCCTATGTGTAGGTGGATATGATGTGGCTGTAGAGAATGGTAGCACCTTACTCATTTTATACCCCTCATACACGAACTTTGATTCCCGCAAGATGGGAAATTGTGAAATTTTCCTAATTATGCAAATAATAAGTGCTTTTAGCTTACATGCTAAAGCTACATGTTTCCTTTTAATATAAACGACCAATCCTTTTTTTTCTTTCTTTCTTTTTTTCCCCCAGGCAAACTGGTAACTGTGAAGTACCTTAGATTAGATCGTTATCATCAGAGGTTTCCATATGCCATTGGCTGCAACACACCAATCAGGCCTTCCAACAACCTCAAGAAATCCCTGTCTCATCAAAGCCAGTCCCCTGGACTTGAAGCTTCATAGAGTCAGATATCACCCAGATCAAAGATCAGTCCACTTTATCCTCTGGACAAGTTATTGTTCACCCTGTCAGTTTTAAATTGAGATCCTTTTCTGTGTCAAGTTCTTCAGGTCAGAGGACCTACATTTTCTCTGCACTTTAAATCGTTGAGGTTTCATTCAACCAATGGGATTTCATCTGCTTATTGGTTTTGTGATTCAGGCCGTTTTCTCTTTGGACTCTGTGCTGTGCATTCCTAGTTTTAATAAATTCTTTATCACCTGCTGCTGCTAGGTAGGGTTGCTTCTCTGACCTGTCTGGCTTATTTTCAGATTCCTCCTGTCTTGAGTCCTGTGTGACTACAGCATATTCTAACCTAGCAAGCTGGTTGCTGTGTGTATGACTTGATTCATTAAGGAGAAAGCCTGATGACAAATCTGCTTATCTGTTAAGTTTAAAAGGAAAAATATGCAGTCTATACCTCTTGGCAGTGCAGGCATCTATGGGGCGCCATCAGACCCAAAATTAATATTTTACAAAACGAATGTTCCAAACCAAAAATACAGCCAAAAAATTTGAAAACCAACAAAAGAAAAACTGCATAAGCAAGGAAATCGAGAAAGTGAAAAAGCTAGATTAAAAATGAATAACAGAAAAATGAAGCAGAGCTCTAAATCCTGCTTTCCAAACAACATTTGCAAAATAAATGATGAAAACCTCAAACAATCAGAAAAAAGGAAAAGACCAAAGGACAAAAATAAAGTATAAAAGGACAGAAATGAATGATCAAAAAACAAAACCAAAAGGATCTAAAGGCAAAACTAAACAATGGATAGAGCCAAACGATCAAAGGACAAAAAGAAACGAACTAAGTAAAAGCAAACGTTGAGGGCGGCAATTGCTGACGCTATGACAGCGTGTGTAAATCCAATCTTGAATCCAATGTGTCAAAGAAGTCACAGCTCGTTTAGTTATTGATAAAAAGACGATTTTTTCATGATAACCAAGGAGATGGCGAACCTTTCACTCAATGCTCATGACAGAGTGCTAGTGATGGATGCATTACCACCAACAGACGTCAGCGCAGTCATAGCGTCAGCAATTGCCGCCCTCAACGTTTGCTTTTCCTTAGTTTGTTTCTTTTTGTCTGTTGATCGTTTGGCTCCGTCTTTTGATCGTTTTAGTTTTATCTGTAGATCTTTTTGTTTTTTTTTTGATCGTTTGGTTTTGTGTTTTTATTGTTTATTTCTGTCCTTTTATCATTTAAGTTTGGTGACCTTTTCCTTTTTCTGATCATTGGAGGTTTTCATCATTTATTTTGTAAATGCTGTTCGCAAAGCAGGATTGAGAATTCTGCTTCATTTTTCTGTCAGTTCCTTAATTTATCTTTTTACTTTCTCGATGTCCTTTGTTTATGCAGTTTTTCTTTTCTTTGTTTTTAAATTTTTAGCCGTGATTTTGGTTTAGAACATTCATTTTGTAAGATATGAATTTTGGCCCTGATGGCGCCCCACAGGCATCTGAGTTGTACTCAGGTAAACAAGCTTGCCGTCAGGGTACAAAAGACATTTGGATTTTGACTTGAATGTTGGCTGTTTGAGTTAATTATGAATAACTGTTGTACGACAGTTCTTGTAAAAAGTATTTGTCATGATCAGTGAGAGTTTGAAATAAAAAGAAGCTCCACATGGCATCTTTGAAAGGAAGAGCTTCTGTCTCCGTGCTTACGGTAAAACCAAATACAAAAAGTGAGGTTTTGTAATAACATGTTTCCTCAGCCGAGGGAGTATTTAACCCAAAAAACATGACCTAGATGTTATGGTTTGGAATAAACCATGGCGACATTTGCCAAATGTGAGATTGGGTGATACGCAAAGCATTTTATTGCCAAACCAAATGTGCATTTTATACACAACCCTAAGGAAGAAAAGTACATGCAAAGCGTTCTCTAGCTTTCACTTTATGAAGTACTCAAATTGGCCACCTTATCCACAGTTTTGCATAGAAGATTTGGAAAAAAGTTACAAGCTGTGAATTTCAGACAGAGAAAATCCCGTTCCTTGAAGAGCTTGTAGTGACTGTTTCCCGTTTAAAGACATTTCAGAGCAATTTTGGCTTTCCATAAGCCTTTTGAAAATTTGTATGTACTTTGAAAATATTTTGTTTGTTGCGGTTGCACCTGTTACTTGATGAACAGGGACATATATTTTGAAGAAAAATGTTACTGTTGCTTGACTGGTTCACTTCCCTTGTAGGTGCTGGCTAGAAAGCCATGGTATGTTTGTCATCCAGTCTGATGCATCGAGAATGTCCAAAAGGTTTTTTTCTTTTTAAAAGCTGTAAATGAATATTGTGAAGTCAAAGACAGGCGTGAGTGTCTGGGGAAAATTAGGAATGCCAGTAGTGGAAATTTCAGGTCAGTATTCTTTTCTCGAACTTGACAATTGAGATTTCTGATGACAGATCATTCAATTCTGTTTTTTTTCTTATGACTGATGGTACGACTGAACAGCTTGTAATTCTGTAAATGTTTGTACATAACTTTTGTAACTTGAAAAACTAATTCTTTGAAGAGACTAGTACCTTGTGTTAAGTCATTTTCTAAGTCAAGTATACAGGAATGATAGTTGATATTGTGAGAATCAGGTCCGGAGACCCAGGTTATATTGATTGGTTAGGTGTGTATGTATGTGTGGGCAGACCTTCACCACATGTCTTTGTTCCCACATTTTTGATCCCCACAAAATGAGTGAAGTAAAGATGTGTTTTTTGCCCACTGCTAGGGAACACACTCAAGTGTGTATTTGCCTGCAACTGGGGACCCCCTATTGTTCCTCTTTTGTTTGTACTTTAACTTTTTTAGAAGACCACCCATATGAGTGGTCAGACAGAGTCTGACACACACACGTGGAAGAGTCACTGGTATGTTGGGGTGGTGTGCTATGGGGGGCTCCCCCCCGCCCTAACACCACCACCACTGCCGCTGCCACCAAGGATCAGCACAAAATATGGAGAAAATTTAGAAAAGGGGATTTTTGTGAATAAAATCTATTTTATTTCTTTTCCTTCTGAAAGCATATAAAAAGACCTCGCCCCTTTGAAATGCCATAAACACCAGTTGATATCATTGAAGGTCATAACATGTGGAAGAAGATATAAATATTTCTATGCTTCCATAATTTAAAGCGGATTTTGCATTTCATAAAAATGTTAATGCAAAGTAAATTTGATGTCACAAAACAGTCTGATGGAATGCTCCCCAGCCTTGTACAATGCTCTGACTTGTTCTGACCTTGGAACATTACAGTTGGACAGCACACTTGGGTTGTGGTATTGGTTTAGAACTGTTGACATACAATGCCAAAGTGTCTGGCATACTTTAAGAAGCATTTGTCAGGTCTGGCTGGTGCCCAGTGGCTAAAAAGTACAGTTTTATCTGGTATGCAAATAATGAATGTTTATGATTGCAGTGGTAAGAATTATGTCTTATGTGACAGATGGAATGTTCCATTCCTTGAGGCAAATCATTTCATGCGTCACCAAACAAAATTGTTTTCACTGTATGAATGCAAAATGTTATTTGTTATATACAATTCCTTGACAAATCCTGAATAAATCTCCACATGAAAAGTTTTCCTGTACCACCTACAGGTTCAGAAATCTTGTGCCATTGTGAATTCAACTATTTTGTTTGCTACACATGTTGAGGAAGATGCATTCCGCTTTTGCACTGCAGCCACTCGGCTGTATGCTGGGACAAGTAATTATAATTCCATGACACATAGTCAGATGACAAGGATTTATTCTGGTATTTGTATAATGTAAAATGTAATTTGTCTGCCAGATCCTACCAGGCAAAATAACGCCTTGCTCCATAAAAGTTCCTCTCAGTTTCCAATTTACTGAGTGATACAAAAAGTTCCACATTGCCATCGACAGTGTTTGCCTTTTTCCACTGAAAGTGGCCCTCACACAAATTTGTTGAGAGTTATTATTCATGAATTCTGCGGTATAGGTCAAGTCACCATGTAATGATTCAGTTGGCAAGCAATCAGCTTTCCTTAGTACAGGAATTATATTTTTCCCCTCTTTGGCATGGTTTGATTGCGCCCTCAGTGACAGAAGCACAGATTATTTTGGAGGAGTTTTCTGAAAAGGTTATTGTTGATTTCCTTCACTCCATAAGTGGGGTACATGTTGCACCTAGGATCGTGTCATAATATATGAGATGATGGTCTGCAAGAAGCATTAATCAGTTTAACATGCTCTAAAACCCAACTTTAACATTGGGAATTTCAAACAGCAGTAAACTAGATGTTTCAGGTGATATATTTAGTCCTGCTGCAGTGTTTATTATTGCTGTAAAAAGTTTACAGTGGACACAAAATTTCCTGAAATGTTATCAACAGATGTCAAAGAAAGCCAGTTTTCACTGGTAATAATTATAATGATCGTGATCATGGCATCTTTGCCATCCATTTATTGCACTAATTTTCTGTCACTCTGAAAACATAAAAGATTGTGCTGTCTGCGTTATTTATGCACATTTAGGATAAAAAGGTGTTAATTGGTCACATAATTTGTTAGTTTAGTGTGTCTGTTAATTTCAAAGATTGTGTTTCTTTAATGAGATAAATTTCATATGTTGTATTCTTTCGCTTAATAGTTTGATGGATTTTCATGTTTCTTTGTTCGTCAGAGTAAAATTATTCTTTGTATGTATGAAATTTGCTTTAAAAATCATGATTTACAGGATTTGCAGACTTGACTTGTAGAAGATGGAGTATCATGACACTCATACAGTAGAATTGAACATGAACATTAGAATTGAAGGTCTGTAATGCGCCGTATATGCCTGGAAGTATATGTGTCTTCATTGTGACCTGTTATGGAAAGCTCTTGGGGGTCTTTGAGCCTGTATATTGTGTTCTATTCTCTATGATTTTATCAAGTTATCCTTGCACTTGTGTTTTTTCTTGGTAAAAGCACCGGTCAGATTGTTTCAAAACATAAGTGGTACTGTTTAAAATACTAATAAAAGAATACTTTAGTATTTTATGTTTCCACTGAGAGGTTTGTATTGGCAGTGTGTCCTTGTTATAAAATTATAAAAGGAAGTTAACCAATTATCAGAGAACAATGGAAAACATGCTTAGCCAATAAAAGTGGTAGGCAGTGACACTGATTTGGTGCATAAATTATTCTATTCAAATTGTACAACTGTTCAGAAAGCTGGCGTGTTACAACAGACATGTATGTACAGTTGTGCTCAAAAGTATTCATACCCTTTGGAAAATAGCTCACTTTTCTTAATTCTTCATTTGTAAAAGCTGTTGTGTTGGTACTTCCACTATATCTTTTGTCTATTTGTTGCAATAAACAAACCCACATATATGTTGGCTAAACTTCATTTGCATAATAACAGATACGGCCCGGGTTTCTCTTTTGCTCCTGTTCAAAAGTTTTCATACCCCAGGTTTACATAGTCCATTGTCTTTTCTTAATAGTCAATAGCGTAGCCTTTAATCTTGATGACTTCCTCAAGACAGCTATGAATACT